GAGTGAGTCCTACTTCCAACCCATTGAGTCACACCCTATGACTCACTACTCCAACCCGCAAACACGAAAAGGGGGAAAACCCGAGGACTCGCGACTCGACTCGCCGAGTCAGATGAACGACTCACCGAGTCTGCCACATGCAAATACTATACACGCGATTTTGCTTGAATCCAGCCCATGGCATTCATAGATCTAAGTTCCTAGGGCCTGGTTTACACGTAAAGTTTCCAACTTTACGTGTAAATAAACACCCATGAGAGTTTTAGGGCTCAAAATGCACCAAAAGAGTAGATCTAGGGCTTTCATGCACTATGGTCCCATAAAGGCAGTAGATCCAAGCTCCTGGAGCTCAATCATGCCTAGATCTAGAGGCTAAACAACCTATCATCCACTCTAATACACAAACAAGCTTGGGGGAAAGGCTCAAGAAAGACTTTCATGAAGCTACAAGGGACAACAAGCATGAAAACAAAGGGAAAATGAGTTATACCTCAAGGAAATCACTGAGATAACACCAATAAGCCTGGCCTCCTTCTTCTCTTCTTGATCTACTCTCCTTCCCTCTCCAAATCTTCAAGAAAACACACCAAAATGCTTCAATCTCACAAGGAACAAGCTTGAACGAAGTATAAGGCTCTGGGGGGGCAGGGGGTGAAAGGGGCGAGCTTGGGGCGGATAAGAAGGCTTAAATAGGGTGCAAACCCTTGAAATTTAGGGTTTCATCAGACAGCAGGGACTCGCCGAGTCCAGAATATGGACTCACCGAGTCGCCAACTTAAACGTGTTCCAGACCCCATCCCTACTCGGCGAGTCGGACCTACAACTCGCCGAGTCCAAGGCTAAAACTGACAAATACTTAGATAAATTTTTACGTACCAGGAACCAGGTGCTACACAAAGGGTTCCAAAACAGTGGTGTAGCCATGACTTTGTTTTAGGATAAGTCAAATAATTTATAAAATATGAACGAACACAATAATTCAAATAATAACAAAATATGACAATGTATGCATTTTAAACTAAATTGTTCACTTAAGTTGCACACAATGTTCTCCTATATCATTAAAATAGTCTAAAATGAAGTCTAAACTGAACAACTTAGCAATATCTTTCTTGATGTAAAGGACCGGACAATCAATAATAAAATCATCCATTTTATTACGGAGTCTATTCATTTTTGCTTTGTTCCCATTGCTCAACGAAATTTATTAATTACAAAAATTTCAATTATAAACATAATTTTAAATTTTTATACAAAACGAAATTATATATAATACAATAATTCAAATAATTAATTCATAGCATCAAGTAACAACCTATATAAAACATACAACAAAAAGTATAAAATCAACACAAAATTAAATGGCTAAATCGGTATAAACTAAATCAATTAAAAATTGTCTAAGATGAAAAATAGAATTATATTATATTGTATAATAACAATTATACGATTTTAGTTATCATCATACAACGAAAGAGAAATCAAACGGGCAATAAGTTGCGCCGTTAAGCCCTTTTGTATGGTAAAGCCAATTATTTTGAAGACTACATCCATAGATCTAGGGGATATAACATTGCTATTTATGATCCGTTGTAGTCTACTAAGAAGCTTCACCGCATCCGACGCAAGGAAACCAAATGTATCAAATACAAATGGTATGAACGCATGTTGATTTTCCATGCACGATTTCTCATGTTTGGTGACCTTGCATGTAATAGAAAAAAATTAATTGATTAATTAAGATAATAAAAAAAATTAATATACGAACCAATGAATAATGATGTTATCTCCTCAAAAACTTGCAACAAGAATAACATGAGGCAACAACATTTATGTTGCGACAATTTTATTTCCATATAGAATTTGAAGTTTCTAATGGGTGGTTCATACCACATTTCATGTCCTTAGTCTCTTTTATTTAACAAAAGTATATTGTCTCTTTTTCGTTCTCTCTCTTTATCTCTCTCTCTCTCTCTCTCTCTCTTATATATATATATATATATATATATATATATATATATAGAGAGAGAGAGAGAGAGGTAAGTTCAATTGAGAAAATGAAAAAGGTTGAGACTGAGGGAATCATTCTCAGCCACTCATTTAATCTAAGCATAAAAAGACATGGTGGCAAACTTGTAAATATGTTAATAACCTTCAATCTCAAATAGATAACTATAGAGAATTCGATAGCAGTTCGTTCATCATCACAATTTCTCCTCCAACCTTCAACAATCATCCGGATTTCTTCAACTAAATCATCATCAATGTCATCCGGTGTTAATCAATCATCGATATTCGTGGCTGGGAGGTTCGCCGTTCAAGACAGATTCGCAACCCAAATTCATCAATTTCATCGATTACTTTATTGAATACTCCGAATGTTCGTAGCTTGCAAGCATTTGTTAAAGTTCATAACAGATTTAGAACTGGAATTTCCCAGATTCGCAAACGAACTCTGTTGGAATTGGAATTTATTCTCTATTCATGAAATTGGAATCAGAGTTCTGGACTCGCAGTCACAGTCGACATTGAAGGACTCAGAATCAGTACTCACATGTTCCCATTCGGATTTTCGAAAATCAAAATGAGAAATCGATCAGACATAGGATGTCGCATCTGAAGTCGAAATCGGAAGTATATGATGATTTGGAATTGATAACTTGAATCGGAAGTATCATGTTTTTAACATTTTTAAAATAGTTAACTTGTATGTACTCCAACTATTTAATAAAATGCATAAACTAAATTACCACGTTAAATTCACATATGAATATGTTTTCTAATCTGAATCAGTATATAATTATTAAAAACACAAAACAAATATGCAAGTCTGTATGTTATTCATATGTGAATAACATATAAAAATTATATATATTTGTGAAAATATCTTCTAATATTCATACGTGAATATACTGTGTAATATTCATAAGTAAAATATCATCTAATATTCACAAGTGAATATACTACGTAATATTCACATGTGATATACCATATAATACTATGTAATATTCACATTTGAAAATATCATTTAATATTCATAACTGAATATACCATCTAATATTCACAAGTACATATATTATGTTAATATTCACAAGTGAATGCATCGTCTAATATTTAAATATGAATATACTATATTTATTATATGTTATATTCATATATGAATGATACTTAAATTGTAAAAAAAAATAATCATACTTTTTATTCATAACTGAATAACGAATATACTGTAATAAAAACATGATGTATTTTTATTCACTTATGAATAACGATAGCTGAAAATATAAACACACACACACACATACACACACACACACACACACACACACATATATATATATATATATATATATATATATATATATATATATATTATCTTAAAACTATATCAATATGGATATCTATTTGTAGAGAATAAAAAATCATGAATTTTGGTATATTTAAAATTATTTTTCGATAAAAATAGTTCCTTAAAAATAAAAATAAAAAAACAAAAAAACTATGTTTTTGTATATATATTAAGATAATGATTAACATAGTTTAAAGAAACATGCTTTGTTAAAAACACATGTCTATTCTTTTCTCATTTCCGCTAGTACGATGGTGGCTTTTGCGGCAAAAATAAATAAGTGGCCGAGAATGATTCCTTCATTCCCAACTTTTTTTTTTCTCAATTGAACCCTACTCTCTCTCCCCTCTCTCTCTCTCTTTCTATATATATATATATATATATATATATATTATATATATATATATATATATATATATATATATATATATATATATATATATATATATATATATAGGGAAAAGTGAATATACCCTTAAGGGTATATAAGCTTAGGTACTCAAAATCATCATATTACGTCGTTTTGTATCATATAATACATTATAATAGTTAAATGTTCTTATAAGTTAACTTCTAACTTGATTTACATCTATGATTTTTATAAATTACACATTTATCTTCCTCTTACATAATTTTCATTTTCAACTACAATATATATAACCTAGTAGGTGTTCGACAAAAAAATGCAATGTAAAAGTAAGATAATAGTGAAATTTTGAAAATCTTGAAAGTAAATCAAGTTAAGGGTTGAAATTTAAAAACATTATAATGAAAATATCAAACAAAACGACGTATTATGATGTGTTTGGGTACCTAAGCTTATATACCCTTAAGGGTATATTCACTTTTCCCATATATATATATATATATATATATATATATATATATATATATATATATATATATATATATATATATATATATATATATATATATATATATAGGGCGGACGCAAGATTTTACAGTAGGGGTTGCACGAGAGAGTTAGGGGTTGCACGGTAGTACAAAAAATAAAATTTTCGAAAAATTTTCCACTGCAGCCGGAAAAGTTAGGGTTTACCGGTGCCACCGTGGACCACCCCTAGGTCACCCCTGCATATATATATATATATATATATATATATATATATATATATATTATATATTATATATATATATATATATATATATAATATATATAATATATATATATATATATATAATATATATATATAACCTTAAATTTATATGCTTAAATTTTTATGGGTGGACCCGTTGCATCTATGTGGTTATGCCACTCTTCCAAGACATCCTTAAACAGTTTCAATCCATGTAGCATCTATACCAAAGCCTCATTCATTAAGATTGAAGAATTCCTTCAAGTCACTTTTGGAATCATATTCATCATCAACATCATGTTTGCAGCTTATACAATCATGAACAACTAGTTCCTCTCGTGATCGCAACCGGGAGTATGTTTTGATTTCTTTTCTTGTATTGTATTTGGGTTTGAACGTTTTAGATTTATAAACAATGTATTTGGATTCTTTTTCTTTTATTCTTATGAATGTTTTCTGTTACATTGTTTACTTAATAGATTGATTTAAGTCTAAGACGATTTTATTGTTGTTTATCCCACCGTTTCAAAAGTGGTGTACAAGTCTCTCACGCGGTTTCACAATAGTCAAAACCTTAAAATATTCCTACTTTTTGCATTTAGTTTTTGCTTGGTACATTTTTACGCGTTTATTCCTGTCTTTCTTTGCAGTTTTGGACATGTTCTACTCCAAAACATTCGTGGGCTTTTTAATATAAAGAGGGGCGGGGGGTAAAGACGCCAGTCCAAGTTCTTCCCTCGAACACAACCCCTTTCTTCGTTTTAACCGCCATGCCAAATTCCGGCAAAACTCTCGATCATTCTCTGATAAAGAGTCTCGAACTGAGGCTCTAGAGTTCGTTATGCGCAATATATCAACAACTCCTGACTCCGATCAAAAGTTAGTTTCTCTCTATTTTTCTCGTGTGTGTTTATATGCTAATGTCTTATAAGAGCAATTATGAAGATCTTATGTGTGGATAAGGCATTAAAATCAATCTTGTTTATCATACTTATATAATTATTCGACTGACTTCATTGGCGTCTTTTACTGATTGTGTTATTTACATTTAGTCTCCCAGAAATTTTAGGACAAGTGAATTCAAGAAACTATCAAGCTGTTTGCCAGATCAATGACTCTTCATAAGTTTATTCGCCGTAAGCTGAAGGTAATTTGTACCGATTTTTCTCAAAAGGTGCCTGGTTTGACCATGAAAGTAATGAAAAGTTCCTAGTTAATTTAAGCCATTATGATCTAGTTGATTTGCTTTTTTTTTTTTAATGAATTCAGTTTCTTTGATCATAGAGATGCTAATAATTGACATTTTGCATGTAGTCTGTGTTTCGGAAAACATACAAAGGCCAGGAACAACATGAAAGTGGTGATATGGTTGATGATATCAGCAATTTACCTGATTGTATTCTTCATCAAATTCTATCTTTTATTCCCACAAAAGAAGTTGTAAAGACGTCCATATTGTCTACAAGATGGAAGAACCTCTGGGCTTCTGCACCTAACATTGATTTTGATGATGGATTGTTGTATGCTAAAACAGTTGATGGTCGGTGTCGGCCTGAGGTGTCTTCCTTCATAAACTTTGTAGACAGAGTCCTCATGTTGCGGGATCCATCAAATATGGAAAAATTCCATCTATCATGTTTTGTTTGCAACAATGCATCTAAAATACATTCATGGATTTCTTATGCAATCATGCACAATGTTCAGGAGCTTGATTTATGTCTCTTTGGAGTGGACGCATTTGTGATTCCTCAGTGTATGCTTGATAGCACACCATTGGTAAGCCTGAAAATAAAAATGGATTGTGTTATTGAACTCCCATCACACGTTTCTTTTCCATTCCTAAAAACCTTGCACCTATCTTTAGTTCGGTTCCCAGATGATGCCTCTACAGAAAAACTTTTCTCAGGATGCCCGTTTCTAGAAGAACTGGTTTTATTAGATTGCTACTTGGTGAACTTGAATAACATTGTGATTTGTAGTTCCACCTTAAAGAGCTTGACCATACATGATCTGCCATATTTTGGTGAATTTGACGATACTAGTGGCTGTAATATCAAGATCGATGCAGTAAATCTTACATGTTTTAAATATTTTGGAAACCTATTAAACGATATTCTAGTGAATAATGCCTTATCCCTGGTCGATGCATTCATTCACATTCCTATTCCCCAAGAGAGGGAAACAGAAGTCACATATCGAGCTATTGATCTACTCAAACAACTAAGATATGTTGTGTCTTTGAGGATATCTAATCGCATCATGGAGGTAATTGGCAATCTAATCTACTTCCTGAATGAAACATATTGCTACTTAGTACTCACCTCTTCGAGCGATGTTCTCATACTGACTTTTGTGTTTGCGTGCTTTCTTTCCTATGGAAAGTCTCTTATATTTGCAGATAACATGGTCCACTATTCTCCGGTTTTTTCAAATTTGAGGCATTTAGTGTTGACTATGGAAAGTGGGAAATATCCGTTTGGAGGTCTGATGGATTTGCTTTACTTCTGTCCAATTCTACAATCTATTAGTCTTCTGGAGGTGGATTACTCGATACTCAAAATCAAAACATGTTGCCAAAGATGATGATATTATAGTTAACGTAATTGTTTTCTAACTGGTGTACAGGGATTCGAGCACCACATGTGCCTTGGTGAAAACGATCCAATTTTGATATTAGTACCTATATGCATGTTGAGTTGCCTTAAAATAGTTACTTTCAAGAACTTTCATTCTAATGATTCAGAAATATATTTCCTCAAATGCATTTTGAAGTATGCGTGCGTTTTGGAGAGGATGGACATCGTGTGGTCTAAGACTCGGCTACCAGATCTAAAGAAGCAAGCACAAGCCAGGACAGAATTAGAAACAATCCGAAGGAGCTCTACAGCCTGTCACGTCAAGTTCTCATAAAATCTGAAGAAAACCCTAAGTACTTTGGTTTTTTTTTAGTATTTATTTTGCATCTTCAGAATGTACGCTATAGTGGAACACACCAATTTTACCAGAAAGTACACCCAAAAATTCTCTTTTACAGAATACAGTTTTTAAATAATACCATCATCGATAGACATCCCACCCCATTAAGAGATACCATAACCAACGAATCAAAACAACCCCACGAGATAATGCCAACAACAACATATCCTCGTGCACCCTTTTCAATTATAGCTGGACATTTCCATCATGTGAACCTAATTACCTAAGTCAACTTAGGACTTTAATAAGTTTCTTAATACATTTCCTCGACAAGATCATTTATTTAAGATTCAAACCTCAAGGCCCACAATTTCCATCTTAAGTCTCTACTGAAGAGGTAACTCCTACTATGGCACAACTATAACAACTTAACATTATAAGGTCAACACCAAGATTTAGGATCTCATACGACCACTATCACTACCCTTATGTATGCTCTACTATCACACTTTTGAACCCTCAACTTCTACATCCTCAGAACATTATCTTAACAATGTCTATTCATCATGATTTCCTTGAATCCATCTTCCAAAAAATCTTCCAGCCTCCAACTCGGAGAGTTCCACTCTCCCCAACATGAAACCCTTGATCAATCAATCTTTCATCACACTATAAAATTAACAAACTCTTCATCAACTTCACCCTACTACATCATAGTCACAACTCTGTCTATTGGTACCGACAGCAATATTTATAAGTACTCTCAATCCACTTCAAGGACCTTTGGTATTCTATTCTCAAACATTAGCTCACTGACAAAAGCTATCAGTCCTATTTTCGAAGTCTCCTAATCATCAAAACCTCATTTTTCAAATAATTAAGCAACACTTTTCACCAATGGGGACAACTCTGAACCACATCAACTCCATCTGTCAATGTTCCCATTGTGACTCGCTAAAGCCACCATCTACTCAATCTCATCATCATTAATTTCCACAAAAAGTGGCACCAAAATCCACTATTTGAGTGTCTGACAATCATAAACCCTGCCACTCAACGACTTACCATCACTTCCTACTCCTCAACAAGACACTAAGAAGTCTTACCACAACTACACAATTGACACTAATTAACTTGTGTTCATATGCTCTACATACATAATTTACAGCAGGAAATTCATCTCATAGTTCAGGAAAATCTCAATCATTTACATCACTAACAGTCTAACACATGGGGCACACCAAATTTCTGGTTCACAACTTATATGTCATGCAAACACAACCAATCAGTAACTCACACAGAAGATCTTAAATCACCAAATAACCTTAACTATTCAAATCCTTCTGATTATACCTGACATTTGTACTGATACTTAGGTATATAACCTCACTGAAATTCATAGAACTCTCCCATTACTTCCAACGACTTTAAATTGCATGTATGTTGCCAAGTATGAAACAAACAACATAAACTCCTATTGTTGATGCCTGAAAGACTACCCAATTCCATAACATGTCAACCCAACTTCATTGATCATTTTGAATCTCCGTAACATCACCATTTGGTTCATCGTTAAGACACCAAAAAACTTTGATTTTCTTTATAGAAATCTCGGTCCTCCCAAAATTGTCAAGTTATCAACTTAATTTCTCTGAGACACTACACTGACTAAAGGGTATATGGCTTAACGGTATATGTTGGAAATTTAATTAATGGGTAAAATGCAAGTCGACAAGTTTCCCATTGTCCCACATTGGTGGGAAGAAGAAATTTTTGTGGGTGTCTAAGGCTTTCCTTGCCTTAACCTTCAAATGCTTTAGTGGAGGTTGAGGGATGGGCCAAGCCCACACGCACCTAGCTGGGCTGAGGGGACGTGTGGTTCGTAAAATGACACAATTTAGGCGAACTTTGCACTTCGTATCAGGATCTGAGGAGCTTTTATTTTTTGCAAAGTTCGGTCCGATTGGGTTGGACAGACCCGGTCAACGTGTTGACCACACTTTCACTTTGGATGAGCTTCCATATAACGATGCTAACTCAATGGATTTTATCTAGTTTTGATAGCTTGTGAGAGATGAGAGGCCAGGTGTCGTCATTACACCTGATTTTTTTGACTTATAGGCTTTTCGGTTTAGTATAAATAGTTCCTCTCAGGTCTTATTTATTCCACACTTCCAATCCCTCTACAACACAAATTTCTTCGATCTGTTTCTGATTATCCTCTTCGCGTTTATCAAATCTTCCATTGTTGTTGGAATAGACAATAACTACACTAAATAATGGGGTTCTATGTTGCAACTTACGACAACTAGAGTGCGTAAAAACCTTTAAGGACATGATTCATTTTGTGTGGGTACCAATCAAGATCTGCAATCTTTAGGTTGGTTTTACTTTATCTGTAACGTCTTTTATTTCACCTAACAAAGTGACAGTCTAATTCTACCTTACATTAAATACTGATCGTGAATGATCAAACTGATTTCTGAATGAAACTTGGTAATTAAATAATAGTAAAATTTATTATTTGTGAGTTATAATCAACATATAATTTTCAATATTATTATCAGCTTGTTTGCTTTGGACATCACTAGTGTTTCGGTATTAACGCACATTACTAATCATTGGTTTGTTTATCTATCATTCAATAGGTTAAGGGTTCAATACTCGTAGTGGACAATAGTGTAGATTTAGGAGTAGGATTAGTGAGTGTGTGAGTTTGTCGTTTTAAAAAAATAGGACACTGAAAGCATAATGATAATCTCAGTTTCGCAAACACAATTACTTGACCCGTACAATGATAAGCTCAGTTTCCCAAATACAGTTAATTAAACTATATAAAATTCTAAGGATGTTATAGATCGATGGCATAACATGTGTACAATGGTGGAAATTCCATGTATTGCATTTTTTCTATATGCTGATTTATCTTCTTGTTATTATTACTCTTATTAAACTCACTTGGTCTTCAAGCTTATGTATTGTGCATGTGTGATTATACATCTCAGGTGCAGACCGGATTAATAAGATAATAACAAGGTATTGTGTTGGTATGAATACTCCTTAGGAGAAATAAATTTTGGATATCAACATGTATGGAAAAAAAACATATGGATGCCAATGCCATTTTTGGATTTTGGATTCTAATCTTTGGTATAGTAAATGTATGGTTGATAAGCTACCGCTAGATTTGATTTTGTATTCCAGTATATAAAACTTGGTTCCTTGGATGACACGTGGATGAAGTTCTTTAAGTATATATTTGTTAAAATTTCAAGTGATACAAGTTCATGAATTACATTTTCTCAATTAGGATGCCGTGAAAATATCAACGAACTCCATTTCGTTGAACGCAACAAAGAAATATAGATAGCAATGTCTAGATGTAGTTTAGATCAGATTTGGAGGAATTATCTTCCTAATGTTTTCATATATTGAATATTAACAAGGTTACAAGTATAAATAGGTTACATATACACGATAACTATCCTGATAACTAGGATCTAAATAACTCTAAATACAACAAATGTTCCTAACTTTCAGCTCTCGCCAACACTCCCCCTCAAGGTGGAGAATGGATATCTACCATTCCCAGCTTGTTAAGAGAGCTTCGAAAAACTCTTCCACACAACGCCTTTGTTAACATGTCCGCCAATTGATCTTCAGTTCCGACGTGAGGAAGCTCCACTGTCTTGCGTTCTAGATGATCTTTAATAAAGTGCCTATCGATTTCTACATGTTTGGTTCTATCATGTTGTACAGGGTTATTTGCAATCTTTATCGTAGACTCATTATCACAATATAGCTTCATGGGAGACTTCAACGAAATGCCAAGGTCCCTTAGGATTCTCTTGATCCACAACAGTTCACACATACCATGAACCATACCTCTAAACTCTGCATCCGCGCTCGATCTTGATACGGCCTTCTGTTTCTTACTCCTCCAAGTAACTAGATTTCCACCCACAAAAGTAAAATAACCCGAGGTGGATTTTCCATCCATCCTATCTCTAGCCCAGTCTGCATCCGTAAACCCACTTACATGGTGATCTTGGTTCTTTCCAAAGAACAAACCCCTGCCACGAGATGACTTCAAATACCTTAAAATCCGATACACCGCATTCATATGTTTTTCATTAGGTGTGTGCATGAACCTACTAACCACAGATACAGCATAGGATATATCAGGACGAGTGTGAGACAGATAGATCAATTTACCCACCAATTTTTGATACTTGTCTCTATTAGTTGGAACCTTATTTGGAAGTATTTCCAGATGATGGTTTACTTCAATAGGAGTGTCAATCGGCTTACAATCTAGCATTCCAATTTCCGTCAGTAAATCCAACACATACTTCCGTTGGTTCATCATTATCCCATTCTTTGATCTAGCTACTTCAATCCCTAAGAAGTATTTTAAGCTTCCAAGGTCTTTTAATTCAAATTCGGCTGCTAGAATTGCTTGTAATTCTTCCATCTCTTTTTCGTCATTTCCTGTTACTATCATGTCATCGACATATACAATCAAGTCTGTTATCTTTCCACCTACTTTTGACTTTATAAACAAGGTGTGATCAGCATCACTTTGCTTATACCCAACCTTTTTCATAAACACTGAGAATCTGCCAAACCATGCTCTTGGCGACTGTTTCAAACCATATAACACCTTTTTTAGCTTACACACCTTACCATGACTTTCGATACCCGGTGGCGGTTCCATGTACACTTCTTCTTCATGACACCCATTTAGGAACGCATTCTTCACGTCAAATTGTTTCAACGGCCAATTTTCATTTGCTGCAATTGATATTAGGATTTGGATAGTGTTGATTTTTGCCACAGGTGCGAAAGTATCCCCGTAATCTATTCCGTATTTTTGCGTATACCCCTTCGCTACCAATCTCACTTTAAACTTCACAACCTTTCCATTTGATTCTAGCTTTACACTAAACACCCATCTACACCCAACTGTTTTCTTCCCACTAGGGAGTGCAACCAAATCCCACATTAAATTCTTTTGTAATGCGTACATTTCTTCATTTACCGCATTTTTCCATCGTTCATCCTTTAGGGCTTCGTGTATGTCTCTAGGGATGGTAATATCTGATGAGCTTTCAACAAATGACGCATGCGCCCCTATGAGTCGGTGTTGTGAAACGTAATTGCTGATCGGATATTTCCCTTT